GGGCGGGCCGGAGAGCTCTGGCAGGAGCGGGGCACGGCGCCCAGCACCAGGGAGTGGGGAAGCTTGTGAGAGTGATGGAGGAAGAAAAAACTCCGATCAGGAAGGAGGGAAGCCCCTTCCACGTGAACTGTAAACAAACATGGCGGCCGGCAGGAGCAGCAGCACCGGCCCGTAAGCAGCAGGAAAGCTTTGTGAAAGTGGCAGGTGGGAGGAAACTTCAGTGGAGAGGGGGGAAGACCCACCTCCCACATGAATGTAGAATAAACACGCGGGCCGACAACGCGGGGGCAGTGTCTTTCCCAGTGCTTGGAAAGGGGGAGAAGCTGTAGTCAGAGGCTCCCTCACAGGAGACTGCTGAACAAGACAAAGCCTGCGGGCAGGTGAGTGTAGCTTCACCCAGATGATCTGCGATAAATAAGGTGGCCCAGAAAAAGCTCCAAAGCCTAAGACAGGATGAGAGCAGCAGGCAGGCTAAGCCATCAGCTGCAGATACCCCTCAGAACTGCCTCCAGATGCTTTTTTTTCTTTTTCTCCCTACCTTTGATGAGAGAACAACGAATTACACCTGCAAGCCGAAAAACGTTACTGAAACTGTATTGCATTGAACTGGGGACACTTGGTGGGGCTTTTGTGTGTGTGTGTGTGTTGTGTGTGTGTGTGTGTGTGTGTAGTTTTGTTCTACTTTATGCATCCCCTTTGATGAGACAAACAGAACAACATCTGAGGCACCAACTCCAGGACTGGAGATTGAGACGGACACCAAATTATTAAGACTGAAACTGCATTGCATATATAAACTTGGAAGTTTTTTGGTTTTTTTTTTTTTAATTTTCTATTTTCCATTTTATTTTAATTCATTTTTATAGATATTTTTTTCATTTACTTATTTTTATTTTTTTATCTTTGATTTTCAATCCTCTCTCTGTTCTCTAATGTCTGTTCAGCTTATGTCGATTAGTACACTAACACTCCCTGTTTATACCTTTGAAACTCTCTTGTCTGATACTTGTTCTGCTTTCTCCCTCTTGTCTGTATATTTGTTTTTCCCCTTTCTTTAACTTCTTGCTTTCCATCTCAAGCTCACTCTTCCATTCTAAATATTACATTGTTATTATTACAAGCTAGAAAATACTTAATTACACACAGTACAGGGACAGTAACAACACAAGACAATGACAGGAAGACAGAAAAAACAGGAAACCAGTTTCCCACAGCAAAAAATTAGTACATGGAACCAGAGGGGAATGAAGAGAACAGAAACTCAGATCCAGACTCCAACAAAATGAAGATAAACTATGCCAAAGGACCCAATGAAGCCACAAGAATAATTTAAAGAAGACATACTACAAGTACTCAATGAGAATTTTATAGAGATGATACTGGATAGGGTCAACCAAAATGTACAGGAGACTCAAGAATTCCAAGACAATAAAAATAGAGAATTTGAAAAAGCAAAAGAAGAAATAAAGGAAACCATAGAACACTGTATAAACACCAAAGTGAAAGAGAACACAATGAATAAATGGATAAATGAACTCAGGACAAAAATAGACAACATAAAGAAAACTGCCAGGATATGGAAAACCTCAGAAAAAAGACGAAACAGAACTGCAAAACAAAACGGAGCAATCCAGCAGAATAGAACAACAGAAGACAGAATCTCAGACTTGAAGATGAAATGGTAATTAAAGGAAAAACTGAAGAACTATTAATTAAACAACTCAAGACCTGTGAAAAGAAAATGCAAGACTCACTGACTCCATCAAAAGACCAAACTTGAGAATCATGGCATCGAAGAAGAGAAGAGGTGCAAGCGGGGAATGCGTAATATATTCAACAAATAATAATGGAAAATTTCCAATCTAGAGAAAGATATTCCCATACAATGCAAGAGGCCTCCAGGACAAAACAACACCAGATCAAAATAGAACTACTCCACGACATATCATCATTAAAACAACAAGTTCAGAAACTAAGGAAAGAATATTGAAGGCTGTAAGAGAGAAAAACAAGTAACATACAAAGGTAAACCCATCAAAATCACAGCAGACTTCTCAACAGAAACATTAAAAGCAAGAAGAGCGTGGGGTGAGATCTTCCGGGCACTGAATGAAAATAACTTCAACCCCAGGATACTCTACCCAGCAAAGCTATCATTCAAAATAGATGGAGCAATAAAAGTCTTCCATGATAAGCAGAAACTAAAACAATATGTACCACAAAGCCACCATTACAAAAGATTCTGCAAGGGATCCTGCACACAGAAAGTGACACCAACTTAACCATGAAAAGGCAGGCAGCACCAAAACCACAGGATAAGAAAAAGCAAGACAGTAGAGAGAACATCAAGTTAGTACACACAATCAAACCTTCAAACAACTAAGATAACTAAATGGCAGGAATCACCACATACCTATCAGTATAACGCTTATGTTAATGGACTTAATCACCCATGACAAAATGGATTAAAAAGAAGATCCAACATTGTTGCTTTACAGGAGACCATCTCACCGACAGAAATGCATAGCTTAGGATGAAAGGCTGGAAGAAGATTTACCAAGCAATGGAAAACAGCAGGAGTAGCAATACTTATCTCTGACAAAGTAGACTTCAAACCTACCATTGATCAAACAAGATAAAGAAGGACATTCCATACTAAATAAAAGGGGAAATAGCCAAAAGGAAATAATAATCATCAATCTGTACGCACCCAATGTCAACGCACCCAATTTCATCAAACATACCCTGAAAGACCTAAAAAGCATATATAAACGCCAACACAGTGGTTGTGGGAGACTTTAACACCCATTATCATCAATAGATAGGTCATCCCAAAACAAAAACTCAATCAGAAATCCAAGGATCTAAAATATGCAATAGATCAAAGTGGACCTAGTAGATGTCTACAGAACATTTCATCCAACCTCTACACAATATACATTCTTCTCAGCAGCCCATGGAACCTTCTCCAAAATAGATCATATCCTAGGGCACAAAGCAAGCCTCAGCAAATATAAGAAAATAGAAATAATACCGTGCATACTATCTGACCACAATGCAGTAAAAGTAGAACTCAACAACAAAAGTAAAGACAAAAAACATGCAAACAGCTGGAAACTAAATAACTCATTACTTAATGAAGAATGGATCATTGATGCAATAAAAGAGGAAATTAAAAAGTTCCTGGAAGTCAATGAAAATGAAAACACAACCTACCGGAACCTATGGGACACAGCTAAGGCAGTCTTGAGAGGAAAGTTATAGCCATGAGTGCATATATTAAAAAGATGAAAGATCCCAAATCAATGACCTAATGATACATCTCAAACTCCTAGAAAAACAAGAACAAGCAAATCCCAAAACAAATAGAAGGAGAGAAATAATAAAATAAGAGCTGAAATCAACGAAATAGAAACCAAAAAAACCATACAAAGAATTAATGAAACAAAAAGTTGGTTCTTTGAAAAAATAAACAAGATCGATAGACCCCTGGCAAACCTGACTAAAATGAGGAGAGAAAAAACCCAAATTAGTAGAATCAGGAATGCAAAAGGGGAGATACAACAAAACACCATGGAAGTCCAGGAAATCATCAGAGACTACTTTGAGAACCTATATTCAAATAAATTTGAAAATCTTAAAGAAATGGACAGATTTCTAGATACATATGATCATCCAAAACTGAACCAAGAGGAAATTAATCACCTGAATAGACCTATAACACAAAATGAAATTGAAGCAGCAATCAAGAGTCCCCCAAAAAGAAAAGTCCAGGACCTGATGGATTCTCTGCTGAATTCTATCAGACCTTTAAAGAAGAACTGATACCAACCCTCCTTAAACTGTTCCATGAAATAGAAAAGGAAGGAAAACTGCCAACACATTTTATGAAGCCAGTATTACACTTATCCCAAAACCAGGCAAAGACACCTCCAAAAAGGAGAACTATAGGCCAATCTCCTTAATGAACATTGATGCAAAAATCCTCAACAAAATAATGGCAAACCGAATTCAGCAACACATCAAAAAGATTATTCACCACACCAAGTAGGCTTCATCCCAGGGATGCAGGGGTGGTTCAACATACGAAAATCAATAAACGTAATAAACCACATTAACAGAAGCAAAGACAAAAACCCCTTGATCATCTCAATAGATGCAGAAAAAGCCTTTGATAAGATCCAACATCATTTCATGATAAAAGCTCTAAGAAAACTAGGAATAGAAGGAAAGTTCCTCAACATTATAAAAGCTATATATGACAAACCTACAGCCAGCATTATACTTAATGGAGAAAAACTGAAACCATTCCCTCTAAAATCAGGAACCAGACAAGGATGCCCACTATCTCCACTCCTATTCAACATAGTACTGGAATTCCTAGCCAGAGCAATTAGGCAAGAAGAAGGAATAAAAGGAATACAAATAGGTAAAGAAACTGTCAAAATATCCCTATTTGCAGACGACATGATCCTATACCTTAAAGACCCAAAAAACTCTACTCAGAAGCTTCTAGACATCATCAATAGCTAGAGCAAGGTAGCAGGATATAAAATCAACATAGAAAAATCATTAGCATTTCTATACACTAACAATGAGCAAACTGAAAAAGAATGTATGAAAACAATTCCATTTACAATAGCCTCAAAAAAATCAAATACCTAGGTGTAAACCTAACAAAAGATGTGAAAGACCTCTACAAGGAAAACTATACACTTCTGAAGAAAGAGATTGAGGAAGACTATAGAAAGTGGAGAGATCTCCCATGCTCATGGATTGGTAGAATCAACATAGTAAAAATGTCGATACTCCCAAAAGTAATCTACATGTTTAATGCAATTCCATGAAAATCCCAATGACATTCATCAAAGAGTTTGAAAAATCTAGCGTTAAATTTATATGGAAACACAAGAGGCCACGAATAGCCAAGGCAATACTCAGACAAAAGAACAATGCAGGAGGTATCACAATACCTGACTTCAAACTATATTACAAAGCAATAACAATAAAAACAGCATGGTACTGGCACAAAAACAGACATGAAGACCAGTGGAACAGAATAGAGGATCCAGATATGAAGCCACACAACTAAGCAACTTATCTTTGACAAAGGAGCTAAAAATATACGATGGAGAAATAGCAGCCTCTTCAACAAAAACTGCTGGGAAAACTGGTTAGCAGTCTGCAAAAAACTGAAACTAGATCCATGTATATCACCCTATACCAAGATTAACTCAAAATGGATCAAGGATCTTAATATCAGACCCCAAACTCTTAAGTTGATACAAGGAAAGAGTAGGAAATACTCTGGAGTTAGTAGGTATAGGTAAGAACTTTCTCAATGAAACCCCAGCAGCACAGCAACTAAGAGATAGCATAGATAAATGGGACCTCATAAAACTAAAAAGCTTCTGTTCATCAAAAGAAATGGTCTCTAAACTGAAGAGAACACCCACAGAGTGGGAGAAAATATTTGCCAACTATACATCAGACAAAGGACTGATAACCAGAATATACAGGGAACTTAAAAAACTAAATTCTCCCAAAACTAATGAACCAATAAAGAAATGGGCAGTGAACTAAACAGAACTTTCTCAAAAGAAGAAATTCAAATGGCCAGAAAACACATGAAAAAATGCTCACCATCTCTAGCAATAAAGGAAATGCAAATTAAAACCACGCTAAGATTCCACCTCACCCCTGTTAGAATAGCCATCATCAGCAACACCACCAACAACAGGTGTTGGCGAGGATGCGGGGAAAAAGGAACCCTCTTACACTGTTGGTGGGAATGTAGACTAGTACAACCACTCTGGAAAAAAATTTGGAGGCTACTTAAAAAGCTGGACATCGATCTACCATTTGATCCAGCAATACCACTCTTGGGGATATACCCAAAAGACTGTTACTCCAGAGGCACCTGCACATCCATGTTTATTGCGGCACTATTCACAATAGCCAAGTTATGGAAACAGCCAAGATGCCCCCCCACTGACGAATGGATTAAGAAAATGTGGTATCTATACACAATGGAATTTTATGCAGCCATGAAGAAGAACGAAATGTTATCATTGCTGGTAAATGGATGGAATTGGAGAACATCATTCTGAGTGAGGTTAGCCTGGCCCAAAAGACCAAAAATCGTATGTTCTCCCTCATATGTGGACATTAGATCAAGGGCAAACACAACAAGGGGATTGGACTTGAGCACATGATAAAAGCGAGAGCACACAAGGGAGGGGTGAGGATAGGTAAGACACCTAAAAAACTAGCTAGCATTTGTTGCCCTTAACGCAGAGAAACTAAAGCAGATACCTTAAAGCAACTGAGGCCAATAGGAAAAGGGGAACAGGAACTAGAAAAAAGGTTAGATCAAAAAGAATTAACCTAGAAGGTAACACCCACGCACAGGAAATCAATGTGAGTCAATGCCCTGTAGAGCTATCCTTATCTCAACCAGCAAAAACCCTTGTTCCTTCCTATTATTGCTTATACTCTCTCTACAACAAAATTAGAAATAAGGGCAAAATAGTTTCTGCTGGGTATTGAGGGGGGGGAGCGGGAGGGGGCGGAGTGGGTGGTAAGGGAGGGGGTGGGGGCAGGGGGGAGAAATGAACCAAGCCTTGTATGCACATATGAATAATTAAAGAAAAATGAAAAAAAACACATAATTCATCTATGAGACAAAACTCTTGAATAAATGGGTGAAAAAGTGAATGGAGTCACATAGGCAATGCTATGGAATCTTTGAAGAAGTGCCCTGTGGCACTAACTTCTCTGTTTTTCTTCCACTCCTTTGTTGAAAGCTGTTCTTCAACCATCCCACATTAACTGACCTGTGCCCAGCTGGAAGGAGCACTTCCACATACCTCATTGGTCTCATTTACTTCTTGCCATTGAGTTAGGAGTAGCTGCACCGCTGGACTGTGGCCATGCATTGCAGCCAGGTGCAAGGCAGTGTTTCCCTCCTGCAACAGAGACACTAGAAGTAAAGTCCCCTTGCCACGAAGCACGCTACTCCCAAATAAGTTTCTGGAAGCTTTCACTTTGGTAAAAGCTGTAGTCCAGAGTAGTTTTAAATAAGATCTATATTTTTTTTAAGTTTTAAATGAGAAGACATGGCTATTCAACCAGTATGGGAAAAAAATGTGCTTTGCCTATCTTTACTATCAATTTGCTAGCAAAAAGTGGGATAACAAAAATAATTGCCCTTAGTCCATGTGCAGATAAACTGGTAAGAGTTCTACGATGTAGTTTTAGTAATATATATATCAAAAGATGTTAAATACTGCTCAGAACCCTTTCACCAGCAATTCCATATCTAGAAATTTCTCTTAAGAAAATCGTCAAAGATGTTCATAGAGACATAGAAGTCTACATTGGGGGTTTTCCCTCCCCAGTTATGTGATACTGAGGTCCAGCAGATCTCAGGTGGAGGAGAGGAGAAGGTTAGAGTTGACAGTGAATAAATCTGTGTCGTGAAGTGATTTCAAAACACTTATGGGACAAAAACTGCCAATCTGAACAACTACAGCAAAGGTGAACATACGTCACCTGGATAGTGCACGATTCCCTTTGTAGTAACAATTTAGCAACTCTACTGTGGACCACGCAAACTGTTACTCTTCATATCCACTGCTACTCCCCCTTTCTCTTGTTCTTTGCAAAGAGATCAAAGTCTAACTCACCTTATCTTTTTCTGAAGTGTGTAGATTAAGGAAGGTAAGTTTTTCTATCATTTCCACGTGGCCTTTCTCAGCCGCCAAAAGAAATGGTTTTCTTCCTCTCTGAAAATCAACGGCAAACTCTAGCATTTATTACACACATAGAGCGAACAAGCAAGACAACTGACAATGTTAGCAGCATTTTCAGGATGATGAAGCAGCCAAGATGGTCCTTCAAGTCACAGGACTCCAGGCCCTTCTTAGGAGAAGGTGACGGCAATTTCTCTGACCCAAAATCAGATCCAGTTCTGGGGTGTCACCCAAAACTGGGAAAACTCCATGTCAATCAGTTTCATAGTACAAAGAGAAATACTGTTCAGAAGAGGCTTGCCCAAGCATTAAGAAGGCGCTACATCACAGCCAGATGATCATTTCAAATGTAGCAATATCATGTACTTCTTACAGGTGTTCACTAGTTCTTTCACTCATTTACTGAGAAGCTGCTATGTGCCAGCCCGTGTCTCAGACACCTGTGTATCACACTCATCCTTACTGACAAAAGTGTTTGAGGAAGGCAATAAGAAATAGTAGAGGGTGGCCTTGGATGCTTGCTAATGCATAGGACCAGAAGAATCAGGAGAAAAGAGCACCTGTTACCTGATTTCTGTCCACAAATTTCCTAAAATTGGCCCATTTTGTGCAGCTTTGAATTCTAGATTCCCACCTCTTCCACCACCTACTCCTTGGCAACAGTGCTTGGTTAAAGGATAGTCACATGCCACACCAGGCCAATCAGAGTCAACTGTATGATTTTTTTCTGGCACATGCTATTTTTATTCTAGAGTCATGAGCTAAATTGTCAGTAGCCACTTGATAAGAAATCTGCCTAAGTCAGCACAGTGGGAAGCAGAAATGAAAAGCAGAGAGAGATAAAGAGCCCTGAGGACATCATTCCAGTTCACGGATTCAAATATACCTTAAGCTACCCATGCCTGGGTTAAATGAGTAAATAAATTCCTTTTTTCCCTTAAAATAGTTCAGGTTGGGTTTCTGTGTTAGACAGACTTTTTATTGCTATGACAAATACCTGAAATAAACTACTTAAAAGGAGGAAAGATTTGTTTGGCTCATTTTTTTAGAGGTCCATGGTTGGCTGGCTCCATTATTCTTAGGTCTGTGGAAAGACAGAAATGTGATGGAGGAAGGGCCAAGATATACCCTTCAAAGGCACACTCAGAGACCCGCTTCCTCCACCAGGCCCGACCTGCCACAGTTCCACCACCGCCCAGTAGTTCATTCAAATTTTGAATCCATCAGTGGATTAAAACGTTGATTATGTCAGAGGGTTCATGATCTAAACTTCTCTAGAAATGCCTCCACAGACAGACTGTGTCATCTTTGACTGCAGGGTTTCTTTAAAGCAACTGAATTATGCGAGTGACCTCAATGCCCACTAGGGAATCTTTTTAGACTCAACTAAAATTTCAGACACATAAAATTAACCCAGGCCACATTTGGCACCACTACTCAGATGCAGGACATGAAGCACAGCTTGTTGGTGTCTGTAGTCCTCTTCATACTACATGCTACATAGCTGTACAGGATCTATTGTTGCTGGCCCTCCCCATGAAGGCTTAGTTGCAAAATGACAAGATTCTCATTGTGTGGGAGCCACCTCAGCTCAGAAGGCTTATGCCCACAGAACAAAAAATGTCTCTTAGGACAAATCCTTGGGGTCAACTTCCAGAGTCCCCACAAGAGACATGCCCCATCATTGCATGCAGAGAAGTCCAGAGTCTACCTTCCTCTAACATCTACAGTCCATCTGTAGCTCCCTCCAGTCTGGACACAACAAACCAATCTTTCATCAGAACTGCTGCTGTTTAGTAATAGTCTACCTTTACCTTGTTTGCAAGAACCAGAAAGTTAACCAAGTTTAAACTCTCATGTGGCAGCTAGAGGGGTTTGTTAGCTATCTACTCACAGAGACTGTAACTAATACAGGACCATTTGAGCCCTAGAGTGGGCTTGTTGCTTTGCCTTTATGCTTCACCTTTCTTCTACCAACAGCACTCTGGTTTTCCTTTGGAGAAGTTCCACATTTGCACCTATACCTTGCCATTTAGTACATTCAGTGTTGTCATTTGCCAGCTGTGACTACTTGCTTGACCCTCACTTGAAGGGGTCACATAACCCATGTTGGTCATATTGATTGGTTAAGGATTGAGCATATGACTCAGAGCCAAATAGAATTGTTCCTGAAATTTATATGTGAACATTTGATGAGAATTTTTCTCGCTTATGAATCAAAATTCGTAAGGATATAAAATGGAAGCTGGTAACAGCCATCTTTCCCACCATAGGAAGAGCATATCTATGAATAACACCAACACACAGACAACCAAGAGTTGTGGAAAGAAAAAGGAGCTGAATTCACTCCAGTTAGAAGTTAATAAATTACCTTTATTTCTTAATCTAGAATAAGATAGATTTTTGTCCTTTGTAACAGAAAGAACTAGAATACATATTTATCAGTTTGTGATCTATATTAGTTCATTTTCCATTACTATAATGAAATATCAGAGGCAAGTTACTTTATAAAGAAAATAAGTTTATTTTAGCTAAATGACAAGATGGCAGAGTACTGAGGCAGCTCAGGGGTCCTTTGGCAAGATTTGAACAGCATATGTGTGTGTCAGTCTCTCCTACTATTTACAAAGCCATCAAGATTCAATCATGGGGGTTCCAACCTAATGATTAGCCAATCCTAATCATTCACCAAAGACCCTACCTTTAAACACCATGGTTGGATTAAGGCGCCACTATCTTAATCCATTAACATGTGAGTCTAGGGATTAAACTCCTGCATGGGTTTGGGAGGGTCAGACCATATTCAAACCAGAGCAGAGACAACACTAGGAGGGCCAGAGATCTGTTTAATTTTAAAATGGCCTTTCTCTTTTATCTTTGGTTGCTACAAAGCTTTGCATTTCTATATAACTAAACAAAGTGACAAAGGATCCACGCCCAAAGAGAGCCTGCGACATGGGAGGATCTGAGCTAAAACTGCAGTAATCACAGATGAAGCATGTTCCCTGTCCAAGAAAAGAGCTGACTTTGAACTCTGGATGACTTTTAAAAACATTATCTTCAAGAAAAAAAATGTCAAAGCCAAATTACACAAAATAAGCACATTTAAAGTAAAGTATATCTTATAAACACATCAAAAGGTAGCATAAGAAAAAAGGAGATACATACAAATCTTTTCTCCCACCTAACACATTATTAGGCAAAATAACAACAGAAATTTCAAAGCTATATGTGTTTTTTAAATATATTTTCTTATCATATCTTATTTTGTTATTTTTTAAGCACCCAACCCATTTTAATAATGTTCAAATAGGACTCTTTCCAGTAAAGTCTCATAGGACTCCACCTTATTTGGAAGGCAGCAAGATTTCCCAGCCAAGAAGAATGTTAGAGGCCCAGGCTTCAGTCCCAGAACAGACCACCATCCTCCACCACTCAGGGTCCTAAGCCTTTCCTAATTAAAATAAGGAGGGTCTAGCATTTTTGTTACTTTTGCTTTATTAACTCACTGTGTACTTAACTTTATATGTTTTCAACTCAATGCACTTAAATTTTTTGAATGTGAATAAGTGTAAGGGATTGGAATTGTTTGTTCTAATTTTTTATTTTTAAGTGTAATACCAAGGTTAATTTATCAAATTTAATAAATTATCAAATTCAAGAAAAAATTCAAAGATTAAATGAGCACCCAAAGTCCCACCTGACCATTCTTACCATAAGGACCCTTGAGATGTTGCCCAAGGGAAGCCAGCACAAAGTCCACAAAGGCCCACAGTGTCTCCTATGCATATCCACACCCCTTAACAGTTCAACTCACGTGGGGTCAGGAATTTAAAGCAGAAACCAGCATAGTTATTACAGCGCTGGAATAGAGACTTGAGCAAGACAAGCAATGACACCAAAAGTGCTGAAAAAATAGTTTCAACTAGGAAAGTGTGGTACTGATGTGGATGGGGGATGACATGGGTGGGCTCTCCTTATACACTGCAGCCAACAGCTTTGTCGCCTTGAGCTAGGTACAATGGCTTAAGCTACTTGAGAGGTGGAAATCAGGAATATCATGCTTTGAGGCCAGCATGGGCAAAAAGTACACAAGATCGCATCTTGACCATCTCCATGCAGTGATGCATGCCTGTCATCCCAGCTACGAGGGAAATACAAATAGGAAGATTTCAATCCAGGCTGGCCCAGGCATAAAGCAAGACCCTGTCTCAAAATGACCAACACAAAAAGCTCTGTCAGAGTGGCCCAAGGGTAGAGCACCTGCTGCCTCGGATCTATACAGTTGGCTTCATGTATCTTGTATCTTGTATCTCTCCCATCTGTGACTTCAACCACCTGTGATCCAAATATTTGGGGAAAAACTGCATCTGGACTGAACGTGTGAAGAATTTTCCTTTGTCATTATTCCCTAAACAATGCAACAATAAAATAAGTATCTAGGTGGCATTTTCATTGCACCAGGTATTATAAGCAATCTAACTCATAGAAACCACGATTCCAACTGGATTTTGCCAACACACATGATCCCACTCATACCTCTGACAAAGAGAGTAGATTTTGTTTGTTTTTTCCATTGATCAATTCACTTCTTTCTACAAGACTATAATTGGACTCAGAGAATCCTCTTCTGCTACACAACCCAGTGGACATATTATTCACTCATTACTTTATGTGTATCTCAACCCACATTAATTTAAGATCTCTCAAATGGACATGTGGATCTGTCTAGTCTCTTCCAGGAGTCCTCAGCCTTTCCATAGCAGACAGAGCAGGAGGAAGAAGGGTGGGACCGTATGGGTGGGCCCAGAACCATCTGAAAAGAGATGATGGACAGAAGTTGCTTGTCAGCAGCTCAAGAAGTGAGGAGGGCTCTCTGCAAGGTGCTTCATTGTCAGAATCTATTCTGCACACTGTTCCTACCTACACCTGCTGCTTCCTACACCTATGCTGTTCTTTCCTACACACTGCTATTTGCAATGATGGCCAGACGCCAGTGAAAGGAGAAACAACTGTGTGTCCCATACATGACAGGGCCTCAACAAACATCTGTTGAAGTGACATGAATGGAATTCATTCAAACTGCATCTCTATACCACGTGGACCAAACTGCAAAGATTCAGCTTCTTTGCCTGACACTAAATGGTGTTTGACTGTGATTGTCAGCTTAAGGAAATCAGATAGTGCATTTTATCCTTTAATAGCTGTTATAACAACTACCATTTAGTGAGCACTTACCATGAGCACAGCCGTTTGCTAAGCACTTTACCATTATTATCTCATTTAAGCATTCTAACAGTGGCTGCTCCAAAATTGCTACACAGAAATGGCTTATGAGTAGTGTCTGGTTGAAAGGGGGTTGCTCAATGGCTCAAGATAGAGCTCATTTGCATGGTTACTTTTACATAATATCATCTATATAAAAAATAGCAATTTACCAATAAATTGTGTGTATTTGTATGTGCATGCACTTGTGTATGACAAGACTTTCCTCACCATCCCTTAGTGCTACCAGGAAGCAAACAGATTTTATTTTCCCTTTATGCAGATGGAGAAGATGAGGCTGTCAGCAGCAATTGGAGAACTTTGCTTAAAGCCATATAGCTAATGTGGTAATACTGCCCAGAACACAGTCCTCCAAGCTGTGAATGTATGGTGTCCAGACATGTGCGAAGAAAGTAAAAGAAATTTATAGACTTCATTTAGAAACAATTTTTATCATTGTTGCTGTTTTTAAGGTTAAGGTCAGGAAAAAATACAAGAACTTTTTAAAAGAGGTGAGAGGAAGTGAATAGTATGATCAACTTCTGAAGAAATGGTTATGGAGAATAGTGTTTTGGGACACAGAGAAACTATGCTCCTGAGTATATTCCACTGCTGAGAGGTCACAGTGGCAACTCTACCAAGGATGCTACTCTATGAAAAAGGTACAGTCCCTAGACTGTCATTGCCCAGGGAACACAGGCAATCTCCACTGTCATCTGAGAAGAGAGGCAGGACAGCATGATGACTGGTGTTGGACAAATCCTGGTGGCTCTGTCATTTTCTAGCTTTGAGACTTTGGACCAAGTCCTTAGCTTCTACTGACCACTGACTTCTAAAAATGAGCAGAATATTTTCTACCTTATTGGATGATTGTGGGTATTAATGAACTCATTCATTCATTCAGTGGTCATTTGTACAGACCTCCCATTGAAGTGTTGTATGTAGATGGCTCTCCTCTGCACCTTGCATATTAATGAGCACTCTTAAAGTGATAGCTGGTATTATTATATATCTCCTTATGAGAAGAAAAGGAATATAGATGAATACAATAAAACCGTATTATGTTCCATGACTTATTACTACATAGCTCTGTGTTAAATACATTCTAAAAGTGTCAGGCATGATAGAATAAATTTTAGGCACACATTCACAATTCTAAAGGGGGTGGATACTATCCACACCCTAGCCAGGATGAGGGAATAGAAAGGGAAGAAGGAATCTGGCTGTGTCCGCTACGAGTCCTGTCCTCCCCACATGCAGGGCCAAGGGCCACTGCCAACAGCAACACTTCCCATCTGTTCCCTGGTCTCCGCCACAGTACCGGGGGAGCTGGCTACTGGGCCAGTTCTGTGCTTGCTGCTTTGGCATCTCCACTGGGGCAAAGAGAAAGGGGAATTTAGAGGGCATGTATGTGGGACCCACTCCCACTGCTGACACACCTCATCAGGTTGGTTCAGATCCTTTAGGTGCAGGTCCTTAATGAGGTACTCCACGATGTTCACGTTATTGCTCTGAGCTGCGAAGTGGAGGGCGTTCATTCCATCCTGAAGACAGCAGGGCAGGGGGAGATATTTACACCGTAACCTCAGGATGTACCCCCACTGTGTTAATGAGGTAAGGGTCATGTCCAGGAAGGACACAAATTCCTACCTGGTTTTTGGCTCTCTGGTCTGCTCCAGCTTTAACCAGCATGAGCATGATCTCGAAGCTTCCAGACCAGGCTGCAAGGTGAAGTACTGTCAAGCCGTGCTTCGCCAAGAAGAGAGAAGAGAAGAATCTATTATGTGGATGGGTCACAGCATACTATGTCAGCCAACAAAGGCCTACTTAGTGATACATTATTAAAAAGTAAGAAAAAGAGAGAGAAGTTGATGTATAGCCCATGTAGTATTTCAATTCTATGGGGGAAATGAGTTTATTTAATAAGTGATACAAGCACAAGAGATTCTCTGAAGAAAATAAAATGAAATGCTATATTACACAATACACACAAAAAAGCACACAAACAATTAGTATGTTAGGTCAAACTCTAGACTACATTGTAAACTCTCTTAATTCAGAGATATAAAAAGGAAAACAGAATATAAACTCAATAAGCAAATGACACTTTAAAAAACATATCATTAATCAAGATAAATGGAGGTCTGGAGGCATGGTTCAAGTGGTAGAGCCCTGAGTTCAAACTCCAGCACTGCCAAGAAAAAAGAGAGGAAAAAAAGAACATTTAAAATAATAAACGATAATATTTGAAATATGAAGTACTCTTAGAAATAAAAAAAAGACAAATCAATAGAAAAATGTACAAATAAAGGTACACTCTTAGGGTATTAGAAGAAATGGAAAACATTATTGTCAGCAATCTGGAAATATCTGCTTAAATTTCAAATACCACCATCCCACACCTGTGGGAATGTAGCTCAGGAAAATAAACTTTTAGAACCTGATGTTATCTATGCAAGGATATTGACTGTAACACTGAAAACTGGGAGCAAGGAATGCTGAATAAATCATGAAATAATTGTATCACATCATGCAACCATTAAAAATAATGAATTAAAGGTATAAACATGGACTTGAAAAGATTTCCAGTAGTTTTGCAAACTATGGAATAGATAAGATGGAAAGAAAATATAATCCTACTTTTATAAAAGATTCACTAAAAAAAAACCACTGTATGTGTGCATCTATACGTATATGTATATGTATATATATATACGTATATGTATATGTACAGGTAGGTTGGTAAGTTGATAGTGGTATTGCTATAATTATGGTTATATGGACATGGAAAAATACAGAAATAAACACATATCTACCTCAGATTGTCACTAGAAGAGGGGAAGCTACACAAAACAGAAGAAAAACACAAAAGGCAAGTTATATAAAGAATCCCATTTATATAGAAACTATCTAAAAGATCACATTTATACAAAAACATACAGGTGTGTGTAAGCACATTTGTGAATAAAGTGTTTAAACTGAGAAATTCTGACCAGGACTTACTGACTGACTTGTAGGGCTGCGTGGGCTATTGTGTTGTGAATTATGTACTGAGTTAGCCAGCAGTTAACACTGGCTGTTTCTGGAAGGTGTAATGGGAGCAAGTAAACTGCAAAAAGCTGATCTGTGTCTTTAGCCTTAAATTAGAGAAGGAGAAAGCACATATTCTGTGCATGGCCTTTAGGATCAAATAGAACTGACCTCAAACTCTGGTTACTTTCTATCACTGATAAGTACTATGATGTTGTTCAACTTAGTTCCTCAGCTTCATGTTCCTTATCTTCAAGTTCACGTGTCTCCTTTTCTGTTTCCTTTATCCCTGTCAAAATGTAACCCTTTGCCTCTGTACAAGTGCCTACCAAAGCAAGCCCTCTTGCTGCATCATATTTGCCTTCCCTTAATTGGCCAGATTTTTTGATCCAAGAAGTCAGTCTGCTAAACACACAGAGCTTGGGAAAATAAACAAGGCAGGCACGTCTATCTGTAAAGTGTAGAAGCCCTTTGGCTTTCATGTGTGTGCAGGTTGGGAGGAGTGAAATAGCAAGTCCTAGGTTGTTACGGTGTAATGCTAAATCTGTGATTCTCACTGGGGGTGATTTTGTTTGCAGGAGACATTTTGGTAGCCATAGCTGAGGGGTGACATTGACACTTAATGGATAGAGACAAGGAAAGCTGCTAAACATCCTACGAGGCAGCCCCACAAAGAATTACCTGCCCCAAAATGCCAGGAGTGCCTCTGTCGGGCAAGCCTGCTGCAAATCTACGGAAGCTGTCAAATGTATGTTTTAGCTGCCATGTCCATAGGGAGTTCATTTACGTATTTACAGCCCCAGTATGAAGAAAACTCTTAATTTCTGTACTCCTATTTTGTTTTTAACAAGGAACAGTGATGTATGATAACTAATTGAGGCTTTTGTTTTTGTTTTTGTTTTTGCTTTAGTTGAGGTTCTTTAAAAAAAATGTGTGTGCTAACCACAATCCCCTCTTTTAATTTAGGCTTTCCCTACAAATCAGTGCTCTATATTCAGTAATAGTAAACCTGGTTTCACACATGGTCATAAGAGACCAGAAATAATTGGGACAGGTGACAAATCACATTTTGATAGGAATTCTATTTTTCCCTAATTTTGAAGCAACCAATATTTAAAAATTCCAAGCAAAGATTATACAATGTAAAAGCTGGGAATTCAAGCAGCAAATAACTGAACTGTCTGAAACCACAAATTCCATCCAAGTGGAGCTGTGGTTCCCAGAGGCAATGAATCACAGCTCACAGATGTAAATTCCCCCAGAAGAACCTCTATAAAACAAAGTCCTCTGCAATGGAATAGTCATGCCTGCAGCTGTGGAAGAGTCTGTCCTGGGTTGCACTCCCAGTTGGCTCACAGACTGTAAAGTATAAAACGCTGGACAGTCACTGATGAGCTGTGCCCAAAATCCGTATGACCCACAGGTGAGGTCAATTATGTCTAGCTCCGAGAGATGTTGTCCTTGTCCTAGCCTTGTCCTCCCAGCCTTTGTTCATACCTAGAGTGAGAGCCTCCCTTTATCCAATCTGCCTCTTCTCAAGACTCAGGGACACCACCGACCTTGAACTCAAGGTCCTCTATGTCCAGCTCATGCATTTGACCCCAAGCATGCAATGTCTTGCATTGTACTCCTCTGTTACAGTCTCTGTCTTTGTTCCCCCGACACTTAGTATACAGCTGAGGCAGTATTTCATACCATTATATCTCTTACTTCACCTGGGGATTGTTTTTGTTGTATATTTTTTTGAGACAGGGTCTCACAAGGTAGTCCAGGCTGGCCTCAAACTCACAATCCTTCTGCCTCTGGCTCCCAAGTGCTGGCATTACAGGTATGTTCTACTCCTGGCAAAAATATTCATATTTATCTTTTTGAGGTGTTGGGGATCGAACTCAGAACCTTGCACATGCAAAGCAAGTGCTCCACCACTGAGCTACACTCCCAGGCTCACTTAGAGGTCTTCTAAAATCCAGATCGTGATTCAGAAGATCTGAGGTGGGACCTGAGAGCCTGCATTCCTAACACCTAATGAGTTCCCAGGTGCTGCCTGTGTTCTGGTCCCAGAACGACACTTGTTTTTTTTTTTTTTTTTTCTTTTCTTTTCTTTTTTTTTTTTTTGAGACAGTCTTGCTATGTACCCCAGGCTGGCCTCAAACACACCATTCCTCCTTCCTCAGCCCCCAAATGCAGGGATTACAGGTACGTACCACTACACCTGGATCTCTGGAACCACACTTTGAATAGCAAGGATTTACATCTAGTTGAATTTCCAGTGAATGCATTGAGACTCACAACAGGAATTGAATACACACAGATGTTGAAGAGGTTTAATTGTCAGTTCTTTGCAAATGGGTATTGTGACTTGAAAGACAGATTTGCCAAGTCAAACTAGGGCTCATTACTCATGTGAATCAGCCACCAGATCTGACCAAACATGGCACTGTATGAATTATTTAAAACAGGTAGAGCGCCTGCTTAGCAAGCGCTAGTGCCAGCAAAAAAATAAAAAAAATTATTAGTTACGTACCAAATCCACTGTGAATGATTAAACTTGTAAAAATATTTAACTAAGTGAAACTTCCCCCCTCCCTTCCTTCTTTCCTCCCTTCTTCCCTTCTTCCTCCCATGGTTCTTTCTAAGCCAGGACCTCACTATGTAGCCTAGGCTGGCCTCAATTTCACAATCCTCCTGCCTCAGTCTTCCAAGTGTGGGATCATAGGTGTAAACCAGTGTATCCAGCTAACAGTGAAACTTTTAAGGCTAGGGGGAATTACTCTATTTCTCATCTGATCGCATCTTAGTGTTACAAGGAAACATTGAGAAAAGCCATTGCTAGCCAAGGACACTCTTCAGATGTGGGATAGCACAAGTAGATGTTCAGAAAAGTCTCAAAGAGAACATGTTGGTAACACATCTCTTCATCACTTAAGGAACAATCGATTTATACTCTGACATAAGCCAGGACTGAATTGCATACATTAGAAACATGAAATCCTCAGATATGCCACCCAGAAGAAAAGATCCTATGCAATCTGAGGCATGAATACATAGGTGTTTGTTGTATGATTCTATTTTGATAGTATGTTAAAGATTATGGGTTATGAGTTTTGTTAGATGGACTAAATGCATGCTATCTGTTTCTCATCAAATGCAACTAAAATCTTTGGATAAAATCTGGCTGGCTGAGGACTCAAAAAATAAATGGTAACAGGTAGAAGGAAACCAGAATCCAGTATGAACAATTCTATGATGAGCTTCCTGTTTCTGTTTTTGCCTTCCATGTCTACCAACTTGGACTCAAGGCAGCACCAAGCAGAAAGTGCCAGGAGAAGCCTCTCTTTCTGGTCGAGGGAGCAGAAGGGGGTCCCTAGGACAGAGGTGGTGGGGGAAACCCTCTTCTTCTTTGCTCTTTTCTGGCTCTGCTAGCTCTAGGATCTGGAGGATGAGGGTGAGATACCTTGGAGAGGAGGGAGCCTGGAAAGGCGTTCCATGAAGTTATAGACCTGGGCTCACCCCTGAGCTGCCCAAAGACTGACTCTTAACATGGTGATAAAGGCTTGGAAAACTAAGCTATAGTGTAGAACACTGACCAGGTCTCATATTGGGTCCTAGGATAGGTCTGAATAGCACTGCAAATGTTCTGAAAACTGAAATAACACTGAAAAAATTGGCCATCCAGGAGCTAGAGATCATTATGTGCAGAGAAATAAGCCAGACTCAGACAGACAAATATCGTATATTTTCTCTCATATGCAGAAAGTAGACTGGAAAAACAAAAAATAAGACTGGTTGTTGTGGTACACCCTTATAATCCCAGGCACTTGGAGGCAGAGGTAGGGGTATCATGGTCTGAGGCCAGCAGTGGGCAACAGTGAGACTCTATCTGAAAAAGAACTAGGCACAAAGGGCTGGGGGATACGGCTCGAGAGGTAGAGACATTGCTTAGGAATCAGGAGGCCCGGAGATCAAACGCCAGCACTGACAAAACCAAACAAACTAAACGATGATATGAATGTAAAAGGGAGACTGTTTGGGTAGAGAGACCAACAGAAGGAGGGAGAACAAAAGGAGATGGTGTATGCTCATGCATATAAAGGACAATATATATATCCTTTATATGCTTGCATGAAATAGAATAATGAAACCCATAAAATTGAGAAAAAAGGTGGGAAAGATATGAATGAGTAACAGGTGGTGAATTTGACCAAAGCACAACGAAACTCCTTTGTACAACTAACATATGCAAATAAAAAATTTGGCATCCACACACATGCAGGAATCACAATTTCTTTCTGCCCTGAACTAAAATTAACTCAAAATGGATGGAGGTCTTTGTTCTGTGCTGCTGTAACAGGATACCATAGGCTGGGTAATTTATAATGAACAGAAATTTACTAAAGGTCACCTCTTGAAGGTCCCACTTCTCAACACTTTGCATAGGGGATTAAGTTTCCAACACATGAAACTTGTTGGACACATTTGAACCATAGACTAGATGCAAAACAGAAGACTATAAAAATTCTAGAAGGGGGCTGGGGTGTAGCTCAGGTGGTAGAGAGCCTGACTCATAAACGCAAAGCCCTGAGTTGAAACCCCATATTGCCAAAAAGAAAGTTTTAAAAGGAAAATATGATAAAATGTTCATGACCTTAAGTTGGGAAAACCATCCTTTCATGTCACACTAAGATCAGGATTCATTATTAAAACACAGGCACATCATGTTTCGTCACAAAAAATATGCCCCACGAAAAACACTGAAAAGACAAATCTGTAGATGTGAGAAAATAACACAAATCACACTCATAACAAATGACTTGTAGCCAAACTACATAGAAAACTCTAAAGCCTCCATAGTAAGAAAACAAGCCCTTTTTTTTAAATGCTCAGAAGATCTGGCTGGGGATGGAGGTCAGTGGTAGAGCACTTGCCTGGCATGTATGAGGCCCTGGGTGTGATCCCCAGCACAGCAGGGGAAAAACATCTCAACAAACTCCGTGGAGAAGATACACAAATTGTGAATAGCACCTGAAAAATGCTTTAGAGAAATGAAAATTAAGCCTGCACTGAGATGACTACATACCTGTCAGAATTACTGAAATTCAGGAGGAAAGGGCAGTCAACACCAAGTGTCAATGATACTGCAGAACACTGGAATTCTCCTCCATTGCTGGTGAGAGGGAAAAGGCACAGCCACCCTAAAATATGCTTGGCAGCTCCTTGTCAAGTTACAAAGACACATGACCCAGTAATCTCATTCTTAAGTACTTAGAGAAATGAAAACTGTATGCTTGCTCAAATACTTATACAAAAGTGTTCACTGCAGCTTTACAGAGAATAGCCAAAAACAAGAAACACCCATAATGTCACCCAAATGACGAATAAATAAACTGTGCTACATCATAAACTGGAATGCTATTTAGCAAGAAAAAGGGAGACATTCTTGATATGTACAACATGGATGAACTTCAGAGGCACTTCGCTGAGTGAAAGAAGCCAGTCTCAAGAAAGCCAGACTGTATAGATCAGAGGTTAGCCTGACTACAGAGAGGCAGCCAGAGTGAAACTTCTGGGTGATCCAACTGTCATGTACTTTTATCTTTACGCTTGGGAGTGAAACCTAGGGCTTCATGCAAACTGAGCATAAGCTCTACTACTGGGTATCCCCAGCCTCTTTGCTCCATGTGTTTGTAGAGGTGGTCATGTGAACCTATACATGCGCTACAGCTCTTGGAACTATTTGCCAAAGAGCAAGTTACTTGTACAGTGTGTTACTTCAAAAATTAAAATAAAATTAAAAGATACTATATTAGATTTTCAATGTCAAAAGAAGAATATACTTGGCTAAGCCGGTCTATCACCAATGCATCTTTATAGGCTAAGATGCAAAAATAATCAAATTACAATTTCCATACTTAAAAGACACGTCTCTTATTGCCATAGCTATTAATACAACTAATAAACAACTAGCTACACTTACAAAATTAGAGTTCCATCATTTTCTTTATTTCTGGTTTCTGTTTTTTGAGACAGGGTCTGACTATGTCGCCCAGGCTGACTTTGAACTCTTGATGCTCCTACCTCAGTTTCACAAGTACTGGAATTATAGACATGAACCACCATGCCCAGCTAAAGAGCTTTCAGAGTTTGTTACATAACTTGCCCACCAATACCAGAGCCAACACTAGAAAAGAAAGTGTCCCACTGGTGACACAAGGAGAAACACCTACCATTACAAGTCTCTACCTTGTCTAGGATTGCTGAGCAAACCAAAAAAATGATTAATTGGTGTAAGATGGCTTCATTTATTTTCCCAACATTTACCTAGCATGTACTAAACCCAGACCCTGTGAGATATGAAGGTAAAGCAATGCTGAGTCTTCCTCTCCAGGAAATTCCAGTCCAGAAAGAAATTACCTCAGCTCTGTGAGAATCTTCCAAAAGTAAAAGTTTTAGAACTACCGTTCATGGAATTGGTTAAGAACCAAGAACTTCAGAGCAAGGCCATGAAGTTCTTCTGTAACTGCAGATGGTAAACATGACATTGGGTCTCACCTTCTGGTTTCCTTGTGTCATGATAAAGGATTAAATGAAGGTGCGAAATTAGGGGAAAAGTCCTCAGGATGGGTTGTGATTTCTCAGCAAATAGTTGAGCTGACTTGTAGCTAACAGCATGGTCTCTGGAATCAGTCAGGTTAGGTTCAAATCCAGCCTCCATCTCTCTTAGATGTAATTTCATTTGTCTGTAAATTGGGTACTATAATAATACTTTTCTCATAAGGTTGGTTGGGTGGGGGCACTCAGGATCAGTTGTAACACTCCTGTCTATTACATAATATTTATTTAATAAATTTTATTTATTATTGGAGTCCAGAGGGCAAAGTCAAGATTTAAAGTCCCAGGGGCCAGTTAGTTCTCATCTTCCATGTACCAGATTATAGCATGGAGAACCATTTTAGTCATACAAATGCATGCTATTGGCCACAAAGTCAAGATGAGAAAATAAGTAAAAGCCCAAATCCTAATATAAGCCACCAAAAATCAAGGTCACATGATATCGATATTCTTTTAAAAGACCTTTCCAAAATAAGCACTGCCAATGAAAACACTGCCTGTGCGTAAGAAGAAAGGGTTTCTGGAGTGACCAGATTCTCCCTGCTCCAACTCACTCTACTCACTGAAGGCGAGCTTACCTTATCAGCAATGTCCACACTGGCCTTGTGACTCAGCAAGAAATCCACCGCAGATAAGTTATTTCTTGCTACTGCAAAATGCAGGGCTGTACGGCTCATCTGAGGAAAACATAATTTGTCTCCTTAGTCATATGATCATCACTGAGCGTTTTTAGGATTCCCATTTCTTGAATAGCCATAATTTCCTATTGCATATTTGTATTTTGATTATTTGGATCCACTTTTTTGCCTTCCCCTTTGATAACTGTGAGAACTACGTCCAGCAGAATCTTGCTTTCATCTGTTATCAGATGACATCAGTGAACTTGGCAACCTAGTGAAGGATCTGCCTCAGACTGAAACCCACTGCATAACCTACCTCATATAACATAATGATTTCATTCAGATAGTAAAAGTTGTATTTTTCCTGGTATGCACTCATAACAATTATCATATTTATTCTACTTAGAGTAAACAGTTTTCCATTGCTGTGACAAAATACTTGAGGTAAACAATTTTTGAAGAGGAAAGTCTTTTTTTCCTCTTTTTTTTTTTTTTTTAGCAGTACTGGGGGTTTGAACTTGGGTCCTCACCTAGGCAGGTGCTCTACCACTTCAGCCATTCTGCCAGCCCAGGAGGAAAAATTCATTTGGGCTCAAGGGTTCAGACATTTCAGTTCATGGTCACTTGGCTCTGTTTTTCTGGGTCTGTGGTGAGGCAGAACATCATTGTGGAGGAAAGCAGCTCATCTCATGACAGCCCAGAAGCAGAGAGACAGGGAGGGGCCAGGGTCCCAATGTCCTCTTCCAGGGCATGTACTCAGTGGCCTACTGTCCTTCCACTAGGCGCTTCCTCTTAAAGGTTTTACCACATCTCAATAGTGCCACAGGATGGTGACCAAGCCATCAACACATGGCCTCTAGGGGACATTTAAGATCCAACCATAAGAGAATATATTGATAATTCATAGCAAATAATTTCCTAGCTGTCCAATCCATTCATTCTCTTTCTTCTGTAATTTTTTTATTATAAATTGCTGAAATAAATTGTTTTGGAAGAAAGGAAGGAGGGATGGAGGGAGGGAGGAAAGAAGCTATGAATATCTTTTGCTTTAAAGAAAAGCCAACTTTTCTTTAAAGATGCTCCTTTGATGTCCAGAGATAGTCTAATGCATTTCAGACAGTGGATATTTTACCTAGAAGTAACACGCTTATCATATTTCCCATATTCTAGGCACTATTTTGGCTTCAAAAAACATTCATGCTTTGGGTATAAATGTACTCTTCTTTGTTTCACATATATAATCACAAAAATGTGAGGACTGTTTAAATTAAATATTTTATTTCTTTGGGAGCTAAACCAAGGATAAAATAACTTTGACAAAACATGAGTCATCTTGACATTGCAGTCTAGAGCTTTGCTCCACCACCTCAGATTTGGGCTTGTTAACTTTATTTGTATATATGATGTAAGCCAAATAACATCAAAGATAATTCAATAATACCATTTACTCTTTTATCTCTAGTAGTCCAGATTTTAAGGAACTCTACAAGTAACCATGTCAACAATTTGCTGTAAACAGTACTAAACAAATGTCATTAGTAAGACTAATATAATCCTTTAGGAGTTTATAATAACTTGCCACACTGACCATAAGTTGAAGTGTCTTAGATGATACTAGTACTTTAAAATAAAAACATAGTTTAAAATGTCAGAATTGCCTTATTTAGAAAAATTTCCACTGGTTATAAATGTATAATTATATTCCTGCTACTTGGAAAATGACCATTGCTTCACTTACTCAAAAGTAATGTTCTGTGGTCATGATGATCTTAAGATAGACAGATACACCTAAATATTTTTGAAAGTACACAAATACCACCTTCAAGGATCCTTGCTTATTTCTTTTCTTTTCCTCCCTCTATCCTCTTTTCTTTCCTTCCTTCTATCCTTTCTCCTTTCCTTCCTTCTCTTCTTGATTCCTTTTTTGTTTCTATAAAATTTTGCTGTTTTTCTACTTTATGAATACTGTACACGCCCTTATCACATCAGACACAGCCACACAAACACATATGTCACATACATAGACATGTAAATCCCCACACACACATACAACTAAGCATCTCTCCACTGCATATGATGCAGCCTTTACCACTTAATTTCCATGATCTTCCTTTTTTTTTTTAATTCATATGTGCATACAATGTTTGGGACATTTCTCCCCCCTTCCCCCCATCCTCTCCGTTACCCCCTCATCCCCTCCATCTCCCCCCGACCCCCTCACTCTCCGGCAGAAACTATTTTGCCCTTATCTCTAATTTTGTTGAAGAGAGAGTATAAGCAATAATAGGAAGGAACAAGGGTTCTGCCTCAGGCAGACACAGGTTTTGTGAGACCTGAGTTTAGATTTTTAGAAGCCAGAGTCTAAAGATAATTCATTGCAGTTAAAATGTTTAGTTTTTCAGATTTTATGGAAATTACACAACCATGAGCCCTCCCAGTGCCTTGGAAGCAGCCTGGACAAATAGGGGCCCAGAAGGTTATACTTCATTTTGAATTCAATCCACTTCAGCTATCCCCACCTTGAACCACTGCACAGTTCATTCTAACCAATCGACACAGCTCCCAACCTGTTCACTTTGATCAACCATGCCTTGAGAGACTGTCAGGAAATCCTCACAAAACCATGCACTAGGGAACCCATATTTCTAGCAATGGACTTGTCCCCCAAAGCCCAGGCACTTGAAGAATGAGTAAGGAAGAGCAAGCTTTTAGAAAAGTTCTCATTGCCTAACATGTGAATGCTCCATACTTCAAAAGCAGTAACATGAAAATCCACACACTCCTTTGGATTTTAAATTTGGAAAAATCCAACCACAAAAGACATCATGGAGAGAAAACAACCCAGATTGTAGGGCAAAAGATGTTCTGCATTTCCAGAATGTGTGAGGCCAAACCGATCCAGAGGCTACTACCTACCACCAAGTCCAGGCTCATAGCCTTATGTAATTCCAAGTCACTTGTCCTATTTGTGACTTCTACTCACATTGTTCACAGCATTTATGTTAACTTTCTTTTCAAACAGCTTGTTCATAAGATCCAAATTATTGCTTTTAGCAGCGTTCTGAAAGCTTCTCTCGTTTGGCAGTACTGAAAGAAAGCAAGCAAGAGTGATTAAGGGAGACCACAAAGAAGGCACATGTCAGGTGGCAAATCTTGTAGCTCTAAAACCTTGAAACAACAACCTTGAGTCTTTCCCATTCTGCTATTTATGACATGGGAACTTTGCTTCCATTTTTTTAAAATAAAGCTATAGTATCATGATTCCACTTTCTCTTCACATTGCAAGTGTTTTCACACCCTTAAAAATATTCCTGGCCTCAACCAAAACATTATTCAAGGAGGACCACCCTGAAGTTAGCAATGTGGTATCTGGCTTAGGTCAGAGGGTGGCCACAGGCTTCCCAAGGGACATTGTTTGTAAAATGCTAGTACAAGATTAGACAGGGAGGAGTAAAATGCTCACACAGCTTACAGAGATAAAACTGTTGTTTGCAGAACTCAGTACAAATGCCAGACTTACAGGAGCAAAACTTTAAAATGTAGCCAGCATATAAACCCACACAAAGGCTAAAATTGATGAACATGTTTTATTCTCATTTATATGAAAGGACATAAAAGTAGACTCACACCTACTGTAAATGTGACATATTACACACACATACACATTCAGATGGTAGGCTTTATTAACTGCCTTAAAGAATATGTCAGGATTTATTGAGGTTTTTGTCATGTAGAACTACAGGGATTTCAAGAAACAGTCCCAACTCTGGGTGACAAAACCAGAATAGAGGTTAAGCAGAATCAAAAATAGACCGCCTCCAAAAATGGAAGGATCATAGACAGATTTTACAAATGTGCTATTGAGTAGTTTCCCAAGTTTTTGCCAAAGGCCCTTCAGAATACGTCCACATGCAGTCAAAGATCAAGGAGTATCTTCATGAAAGACATTGTTACGGGCTGAACTGTGACCCTCCAAAATTAATGTGCTGAAATCCTAACCCCTAGAACCTCAGAATGCAACTGTATTTGGAGACAGGATCTTTAAAAAGTTAAAAAGAGTTAATAAATGTAAAATAAGGCCATATAGGTGGGCTATAATCTGATATGACTGTTTCCCTATAAAAAAGAGATTAGGACCCTGGGTTCGATCTCCAGCTCTGAAAGAGAGAGAGAGATTAGGACACAAATATCTGCAGAGGAAGGACCATGGAAAGACAGGGGAAAAAATAAAGGAAGACATCTATAAGTAAAGAACAGAAACCTGAGAAGAAACCAACCCCACTGACCCACTGATCTTTGACTTCTAGTCTCCAGGTCTGTAAGAATATAAATTTCCATTGTTTAAGCCATCCAGACGGTGGTATTTTGCTATGGAAGCCCTGGCAAAATGATACGATTTAGATGTTTATTCTTGTTTTGTTTATTTGTTTGGCTGATATTTTTAAGACAAATTCTTGCTTTCGTAGCCAAGGCTGGCTTAGAATTATGCAGCCCCGGCTGGCCTCAAACTTGCCATTCTCCTGCCTTAGCCTCCCCAGTGCTGGTATTACAGGTGCACTCCGTAACACCACCATGTCTGGTGTAGATGTTTCTTCTTTCTAGCAGCTTTATAACTCTCTTGCCTACTATTTCTACTCTTGTCACCATTTTAGGTGACTTCATTTAGGTGATTTCAACATTTTCACAGATGATTAATCCAATACCTTACCCTCCCGGTTCCCTGACTCCCTCACTTCTTATAACCTTTCTCCCATCTGATGTCAGCCATGTAATTTCAGGAGCATATTCTTGATTTAATCATTGCTTAAATTACACTATCTATGAAATCTCCACTTCAAGAATCCCATTCTCTGACCACTACCTCTTGTCTATTCAGCTCACCTGCCAAGAATTCTGCAACCTCACCAAGTTCTTCTATTCACTGTCTTAAACATTTTTTCATACATTCATCTCTGTGTTCTTCCTTCCTTATCCTGTTTTGATTCCATGATGTCAGTCTATTTGTGCAGCAACAATAAAATATCTGAGACTGGGTCATTTCTAAAGGATCTAAATTTATTTCTTACAGTTCTGCAGGCTGACAAGGTTTAGCAAGTTTAGTTGTCTGGCTGCTCTCTGCATCCAACATGGTACCTTGTTGGGAATGTTGTCTCGTCACATGGCAGAAGGTGGAAAGGCAGAGCTCCCTCTGTTAAGCCCTTTTATGAGGAAACTTAATCCCATTCAAGAGACTTGAGACCTCATGATTCAGTCACGTTGTAAAGGTCACATCTCTTAATTCTGGTGCTCTTGTTTTTTGTTTTCTTTTTTGGGAGGACTGGGGTTTGAACTCAGGACTTTGCACTTGCAAAGCAGGCACTCTATCACTTGAGCCATACCTCTAGTCCATAAGTATATAATTTAATTGTGAACCATGCCACAACCTATTTTTTTTTTTTGGCAGCACTGAGGTTTGAACTCAGGGTCTCACACTTGCTGGGCAGCCACTCTACCACTTGAGCCACTCCACCAGTCCAGTTTCGTGTTGGTTGTTTTCGTGATAGGGTCTCCTGAACTATTTGCCTGGGCTGGCTTTGAACTGCGATCCTCCTGATCTCTGGCTCCTGAGCAGCTAGTTTTATAGGCATGAGCCACTGGTACCTTCTCCACATCCCTTAATTCTATCACACTGGTCATTACATTTCAACACATGATTTATGGGGATGCATGCAGATCACAGTATATTGTCTATCCATGAAATCACTTTTATGCAAACACACTTACCACCTCACCACCCTTTTCCACCATCAAGCTGAGTGCTAGAATCCTAATTTTTAGATTAAACCAGTGGCTACTTGCTTCCTTTCTATACCTGAATAGCTGAAGGGTACTGAGGTTGACATTGCTAGTGTTCATCAATATCCAGTTCTTCCCTTCCACACGGACGCATGGATGAGTGAACATCCAACCTGGATGCATTTAGGTGCCGTCTATCCAATGGACTGAAAACAGAAGTGATGCTCTGTCACTTTGGGGCTGAGTCAGAAAAATGCTCTGTGTCATCCTCCAGGTCTCTCCCTGCTTTTTTAACCTTGACACCAGGTATTTAAATGGGCCTCAAGATGGTGGTCCTTCAATTAGCTTGGCTTCAATACACAACTCTTCATAGGTCTCTTATACTTTTGCACATCGTAGAGGCAGAAGCACTGATGGGCCTTATTCTTGATTATCTTTGAAGGATATCCAAGTGTAAGAGACAGCCTTGGAAGATGGAGATGGTGTCTCCCTGTGGAGCTAAGAGTGGGTTTGCTTACAGCCTTGGGAATCATCAACATCTAGGTATGCTTACTGCCCACTGAAAAAGACTGTGTTCAGGTGTCAGTTGGTACTCTTCATGTGTTCTATGTGAACTAGAGCTTAACAAACTGATATGAATAACAATACCATTGATACTGTGACTGCTGTGAGTAATAAAATCCTTGATTTCTGACCCAGAAGTGTATTCTGCTGGCTATTGTTTTTGAGGGGGCGGAGGTTGCACACTTGCTAGCAGGTAGAGTGCTACCATGTGAACAATTCTGCCAGCCCGGTTTTGTGTTGGGTTTTTTTGAGATAGGATCTGGCAAACTATTTGCCCCTGCTGGCTTTGAACAGCAATCCTGCTGATCTCTGTTTCCCAAGTAGCTAGTAGTACAGGATGAGCCTTGGGTACCCAGTTCTGCCAGCATCCTTATCTCCATATGAGCTAACTTGTTAGCTTGCAAATATGGTAAAGGTTTAGCCTCTTTACAGTCCTTGACACCTGAGGTTCTGGGATATTAGTAAGAGCAGATATCCTCACCAACCTGTGCTATATGAGCAAGAAATGGATCTTCCTTACATCCAGTCACCCAGGCTCTTGGATAATTTGTTGCTACAAGAAAAAGCTAATTTGTTCTGACTGATACACATGCTAACTGGCCTCTTAAATTCTTACTCATTCGTACAAGTGGGATCTCAGCACTTCTAGCTATCCCACTACATTTCTCTTGTCTTCCATTTCCCAAATTTTCATGTCATTGTCTTTCTCCTACTTTACTATCCTCACTGTCATCGAATTCTGGCTGAGAACATTGCCTTATATTAAAGATAGAATTAATATAACAAGAATCTCCACATCTTCCCTCTACTAAATCCATGAGCCCATGTATATTGGTAGACATAAACTCTCTACTTTATTACTATTACTATGGATGAAGTATCCCTATGCCTTTCTATTTATTTATTTATTTTTTTTATTATTCATTTGTGCATACAATGTTTGGGTCATTTCTCCCCCCTGCCCCCACCTCCTCCTTTACCACCCACTCCATCCCCTCTCTCTCCCCCCCACTCCCTCGATACTCGGCAGAAACTATTTTGCCCTTATTTCTAATTTTGTTGTAGAGAGAGTATAAGCAATAATAGGAAGGACCAAGGGTTTTTGCTAGTTGAGATAAGGATAGCTATACAGGAAGTTGACTCACATTAATTTCCTGTGCGTGTGTGTCACCTTCTACGTTAATTCTTCTTGATCTAACCTTTTCTCTAGCTCCTGGTCCCCTTCTCCTATTGGCCTCAGTTGCTTTTAAGGTATCTGCTTTAGTTTCTCTGCGTTAAGGGCAACAAATGCTAGCTAATTTTTTAGGTGTCTTACTTATCCTCACCCCTCCCTTGTGTGCTCTCGATTTTATCATGTGCTCAAAGTCCAATCCCCTTGTTGTGTTTGCCCTTGATCTAATGTCACATATGAGGGAGAACATACGATTTTTGGTCTTTTGGGCCAGGCTAACCTCACTCAGAATGATGTTCTCCAATTCCATCCATTTACCAGCGAATGATCACATTTCGTTCTTCTTCATGGCTGCATAATATTCCATTGTGTATAGATACCACATTTTCTTGATCCATTCGTCAGTAGTGGGGCATCTTGGCTGTTTCCATAACTTGGCTATTGTGAATAGTGCCGCAATAAACATGGATGTGCAGGTGCCTCTGGAGTAACAGTCTTTTGGGTATATCCCCAAGAGTGGTATTGCTGGATCAAATGGTAGATCAATGTTTAGCTTTTTAAGTAGCCTCCAAATTTTTTTCCAGAGTGGTTGTACTAGTTTACATTCCCACCAACAGTGTAAGAGGGTTCCTTTTTTCCCCGCATCCTTGCCAACACCTGTTGTTGGTGGTGTTGCTGATGATGGCTATTCTAACAGGGGTGAGGTGGAATCTTAGTGTGGTTTTAATTTGCATTTCCTTTATTCCTATGCCTTTCTATACTTGGGCTCTGGATCCCATTCCTCTTTCTCCTAACTTTTCAATTATTTTACATAACAATTTGCTGGAAATCATCCTTTTAATCCTTTAAATCATTTAATCTTTCTCAGTGAATCATCCCCCTTTATGACTACAGAGATGTCCCAGGTGGTCTGAATCCAAACCCCAAGCTTTCGATCATCCATGTCCAGGGTATGAGCCTGGAGAGAGATTGCTGAAGTAGAGAACCAAATCACCCACTTGGTCCTACAAAAGCTTTCTGCCAGCTAGGCCAGACTCCTCATGGCTCTCTCTCCTGGTTCCTATACAACTCTGGCTCCAGCAGCTTGCCCCTGTGCATTAATCCAATAGGACACAAGTTTTATTTCCAGTCCCTTGTCCCCCTTTGGTTTAACCCAAGGGAAATCAAGACCTGACTGTGTCCTAAAATGACTCATGGATTTTTCTGTCCCTGAAGTTGAATGTTTAACCCTTTTTTCTACCACAATCTACAGAAAGTGAATTTCGAGGCTGCTTTCTAAGAGAGTAGGGAAAGCAGCATAAAAGACTTTTTAGCCAGGCATGGTGGGCACATCTGTAATCTCAGCCCTCAGAAAGATGAAGTAGAATGATCACAAGTTCAAGGCTAGCCTGGGCTACATAGTGGTAGAGCTTCTACCTAGCAAGTGTGAGGCTCTGAGTTCAAACCTCAGTACCACACACACAAAAAAAGATGTTCAATGACTTGTCCACAACTTATTAATTGTACAATTTTATAACAGTTCTGAATTTCACTTTTCTAACCCATAAAATGAAGAATATTAAACCTACTGTTATTAGTGTGCAGTAGGTTGTTCCCACAGGCTCATGAGAGTTGTATCTTCCCAAATCTATGTTCATTAGCATAGTAGCTTGAAATCAGTCATGGTAGAAGTACATTACACAAAGGAAACTAGTGATAAAAATCAGGCCTCCCTTCCCCAGCCCAGGAGAGTTTGTAGTTAAACATTTACTAACACACCACTGCCTACCTGAAAGCTAGTAAGTGACGGAGTTGACAAAATGACCCATGCAAAATCATAAACATATCAATTTTCAGCTAAGTTGAATAATTCTATAGTAGTATTTACAATGCTTTTATCAGTTGCAATTTATAATATCAAGGAAGGATTAAATGTTCAGCCAGACACTTAATCCTTTAGGGGTCAAAAACATCAATGCCTTCAAGAGCTGGGCAAGTATGAGGAAAGAGGGTGAGAACAAGTGAGGACCTTGCTGAATTAGAGACACAAGCCCAGGCTCCAGCCCTCATGTCATTCGGGTCCCTACTCAAGAGATACTTCCTGTGAAAGTCCATATGTAATCATGCAATCCCTTTTCTCCTGTCACTCTCTACTTCATTTTTTCTTGATATCACTTGACATTATTTGAGATTATGTATTTGTTTCCTTCACCAGAATAAAATTCTATGAGGAAGCTAAAATAATGCCAGTACCAATAGCTAGTAGACGTTCAATAAATATTTAATGGATGGATGGATGGATGGATGGATGGATGGAACAGTGTATGGGTTGAACAGCCACAACCCAATTTCAGAAGAATATTGCTTAGAGGGAATCCAGGCCCGGTATTAACACATATATATTTTTTAAATTGGACCATAGGTCAAAAAGGAAATATCAAGAAAAATTGGAAAATATTTTGAACTGAAATTTCAAAATGAAACGAAAATTAAAACATGTTAAGATGTATGGGAAGCAACTAAAGCAGGGTTAGAGGGAAATTTACCACATTAAATGGCTATATCGGGAAGAAAAGTTTCATTGCTGTGTTTCAAGGCCTTCACAGCACTTAGAACTTCCCTTAAATTGTCCTACTCATTTATTTCTGTATTTGTTGTTTTATTGTCTATTGATCCTCCACTATAACAGAATGTGAACTCCAACAGAACAGGGGTTGTCTTGTTCTCTACACTCCCACATGAAGAACATGTCTAGCAAATTGTAAGCCTTTGCAAATCTTTCTTGAATGAATGAACTGAGATTACATTAGGGAACTGGTGTACATCTCCCAAGGCTGGTCTTCAGAAACGAGGCCATCTCAGCCAGCCTGTGGTGTGCCCCCTTAACAGACTTGAATCAGTTTCAGATTCTGAAGACGCTTCATCAGCGTTGTCTGGTGAGTGCTATACATTTTTCCCAAGGCATAGCTGATCTACTCCATGCTTTGAAAACTTCAGTGCAAGAAGGTTACGTGACTTATTTAAAGTCCCACAATAAATCAGTGCATAAATCAGGATAAGATAACTGCATATGAACTCTTTCCGTATTTGCAAAAGGGCTTAATGGTTTCTTTAAATAGCCTTCTCCTTAAGCTGGGAGTAATACATTCCTTACGTCCACATTATAGGGCTGAGGATGTGAACCTCAACTTGTGTGGGCGACAACGCCAAGGCTGCAAACCGCCCAACCAGGGATAAGTGCTGGAGCATGGATTGAGGGTCCCCAGGGGGAAGCCTGCCCGGCCTACACCCCAGTTTCCTTCCCACAGCGTTGCGAGGCGCTGCTCTGGATGCCCTCTAGTCGCTTGGGCACAGTCCCTCCCACTGCCCATCAGAAGGACGCCAGCCCCCCCCCCCACCCCCGGTTCCCTGAGACCTCATCCCAGGAGTCCTGCAGCTGCGTCCTCCTCCTCTCCTGGCCCTCTTGCTTTGGCGTCCTAGACAGGCCCTTCCAGGGCCCAGAGGCCGCACCCCTCAGGTCTTCCCGAAGCCCCTTGGCCGCCGCGGCCGCCCCGAGCAGCAGCCCCTTGGCCGCAGCCCCGGCACCCCGGGTGCGGTCCATGGCCGCCGCGGACTGCAGAGCCCCGCCGACCTTGACCAGAGCAGGAGTGGACTGGACCAGCAGGTCGGTCCGGCAGCAGCACAGGAGAGTCCGCTCTCTTCGGGACGATCCGCCGGGCAGTGTGCCTTTGTATCTCCAGCCCTGCCCTGGCTTGGGCTGGCCTGGGAGAGTCCACCTTTAGGTGTGGCAGGTGCGGTGCTATGCTTGGTTCTACCTGAAACAAAACATCTTGAGAAATCAACAAGCCTTGGTCAACTCCCAGTTTATACTCTGTCCATTCTCAGTTCAATTTTGAGGAATGCCGAGTTGGATTTATAGCCAACACTCACTTTTATAACTTCAGTATTAAACAATTTCTAAACGGGCATCCAAAATTTTCTTTTGAATAAAATATGGATTTCTTAATTTCTCATTGGATAACCATGCAATTATCATCTCTCTTAACTGCTTTTAAAAATGAAATAATACAGAAGCAAGTCAAACGAATTCAGACCCCAAAATAAATCTCAAATAATTAATTTGGTTTTTATTTATTTTGTATTCTTAGGAATTGATGTTTCATTTTAACATAAATTATATAATTTCAATGTTTCTTTCACACTTGTTTTCCTTTCAAAGTAATGTGTGTCAGATTTGAAACATTCATTTGAAAACAGTGTTTTCTGATCAACCAACAATAATGGCATACTGTTACTTATTTTATTTAGAACATTACCTTTAACTTCAAACTTTCTTTTAAAAAAAAAGTGAAATGGGTCTAATGTCTGTACTAAGGATATGATCAACACATAGCAAGTACACAATCAAATATTATGCAGAAATACCAGACTGCACTAATATGGAAAGTATTTACACTATGTAGATGGAAAAGCAGGCTACAAAAATCATATGCTTATAAATAAAAATTTAAAAGTAGAAAATAATATACATAAAAAGAATAATAACAGAAACTGCTAGAATGCTCCCAGTGGAAAACTTACTGCCAACTACAGAAAGTTCTGAATGTGTTATTCTAGTCATTTATGACACATAAGTTGCTTTCTAATCGTGAATCAATCTGTTAAAGTTAAATGATGCAGCATCATTTTATGCTATACACCCTTACAGAAATGTGGTGATCCCACCCCTACTGTAGCCAAGTCAGGCCTTGCCTGGACTTCATTTCCTTAATTTCCCTGAGAGCTTGGGCTAGATTCTCATCTAGAAGTACACCTTGGATGGTATTTTCATAAAGCAAATTAACTCTCAACCAGGAGATTGACTCTTAGTATGCTAATACATAAGACATACTGCAACACACGATCTGGACCTACTCATCCCTCTGACGTTGGGCCCTGCAACTCTTCCTTTTTCTTGCTGCTCCTCCAGGGTTTCCTATTGCAGAGATACCCAGCTTTCATTTCTCTCTGCCATGACGACTTCCAATCGCTTTTTAATGATTTAATCCTCCAGAATATATTTTTTTTTCATTTTTCTTTTATTATTCATATGTGCATACAAGGCTTGGTTTATTTCTCCCCCCTGCCCCCACCCCCTCCCTTACCACCCACTCCACCCCCTCCCGCTCTCCCCCTCAATACCCAGCAGAAACTATTTTGCCCTTATCTCTAATTTTGTTGTAGAGAGAGTATAAGCAATAATAGGAAGGAACAAGGGGTTTTGCTGGTTGAGATAAAGATAGCTATACAGGGCATTGACTCACATTGATTTCCTCCAGAATATTATGAAGGTCTCAGGTTAAATATCATTTCCTCAGAGAATTTTTCCCTGATCACTATTCTAAAATATTCTAAAGTCTTTCCTGCCTTCATTCTTGATTCCCTTGTGCTGCTCTTTCTTGTATAGCACTTGTCACTGAAATGACAGCATTTGTTAGTGTCTATATGTGAAGACAGGGAATGGGAGGTGTAAATTTTTTCCCTGCTGCATGTCCAGTGCCTAAAGACCCGAGGCAAATATCTGACAAATAAATATGGAACATAATTAAGCCAGGTGAATAGTGACCTGACTACCAGTCCTCAAGGCTTTAATTTCTCCCTTAAAGGAAGAAGGTCTAGACTAGAGGTATGTGTTCAGTTCTGAAATAAACCTTTAAGTCCAGGCCTGGTTAAGGATTCCTTATCCTTAAAAATGTCTTCTTTGATTTTTCTTCACTCTCCTGTCAGATGACTTCTCCCTAGATTTCCACTATATCCACCTATTATAGCCCTTCCCACATTGAGTGGAAACTGTTCCCTGGGGTGACTCTTCATTCCTTGTGGACAAAAATGTCTTCATGCTATTTATGTTCTACAGAGAATTCACTCATAATTAACGGGAACGCTCAAGTAACTACGGCTTTAACCAGTGCCTTGTGAAAATCTGGATGTGCAAGCCCATGCTGATGTGATGCCTCTATTCTACAAGGTCCTCAAGAGCAGCCCTCTGTCCCATTACTCCACCATCCCCAGGTGCACACCCAGGTCAGGTGTTAATATTGTAAGGAATTGCTTCCAGGTAGCAGGATGGAAGAAAGAAACATGACAAAGCAAGAGGATGCCACAGCTGCACAAAAGGAAAGTTCCCAGAAGTACCACACACAGACTTCCTTTTATATCCCATTGGCTTACATTCAGTTATATGGCTATTCCTAGCTGTGAGGGTGTGAACTGTAAGGCAGGGAAATGTCCTCTACTTTACCAATTCTGAAATACCCATTTTAGATTGAAGTTGAGTTCTTCCTGAGAGGATGTGCATTTGCTTCTATTAGTCACTAGAGTTGATACTAACCTAAGACCGCTTTAATTAAATTTTCTACTTGAGCTTATTTGGATCACACCATTCATGTGAATTCACACTACAAACCTACAGGAGTACTGGCTTGTGGTTAACATCCTCATGGGAGTTCTTCCTTTCAACCAGTGCCAAGATTGAGTGTGCAAGTTGCCTATGACCTCATTCCTCATGGAGGGACTTATTTCCCTTTATCTTTACTCTGAAGGTATAAACCTTGGTTTCCCATATTTATGTAATGGTAACCTGTTGGGCTCACCATCTTAGACACTAGTTCTTAGTGGTTTATAAAATAGAGAATTGATGAAATACAATATTCTATTTTGGGTGATCATGTGCCAGCTGAAATTCTAATAATGTGACAGAAAAGTAGAATATTGAAGTACAGTCACAATCTCTACCCTGAATTGCCAGCATCTAAGCAGTGTGTTTGATGAATGGATTACAAACAAAACAAAACCTTAGAACATTTCATACACATGAATGGTCTTGTAGGTCAAATTGGAAGTTTGGCATATTCTAAGAGTGAAAAAATTGTGGGACCCTTATAAAACAAGGTCCCCCCAAAATTTCACAATTTGTTTGCCTCTTATTTAGGGATCCCTATCTGCATCCTACCCTGTGTATAAATTTGAAATAATAATAAATGTTAGAGATTAAGGCTAGAGGGAAAGGGCTATTACCATCTGGATTTAAATTCTCTTCTATCTTCCTGCCAGCAGTGAGTTACAAAAGGAAGACTGTCATAATTACCTCACTTGTAAGGGGAACAGCAAAATATTATGGTTTGTTTAATAAATGGAATTGTGTTCCCATTATTACTCAATATAATATCATTTGAGGTTTTCTTGAACAACTGCTAATCTAGTTATGTATTACAAAGCAAAAGTAATTATTCCTTAATTATTCAATGAAAGAACAGTTTTTGCCCTAGGGAAATAAACATCATTGAAGTTCACTGAAATCCCACCAGCACCAAGTATGTTCACACATACCACAACTTTTCAAGATGGAGCATTACTTACAGAAAAATCAGTCATGAGACACCAGTGATGCTTTTTTAAATGGAATGTTTTCTTTAAAAAACTTTTTTAGTACTAGGTTAATAGTCATAGTTTAAACCTTGATCCAGATTACTTTCAAGACATATCAAAAGGACAAAGTAATAAAAACAATTATAAAGAAAGTCATTATCCAATAAAGGGAAAGCAATGTAAATTTCTTTCTGGAATGTCCTCCTCTAGGGTGCAATCTGAATGCAGCTACCTACACCAGCCATCATCCTGTCTTCCCAGAAGAAAAAGAGAAGCTAGGAACAGACATCCCTCTTTGGACATATACTATCTATTCACTTATGTGTCAATAAATGAGTGTTAACATCTACTACACGCCAGGGCATATACCTCATAATTGGAATTCAGAGATAGATGAAAGACAACCTTGGATCCATAATAGTCTACAGTCTGGTAGGGAGAGACATTCCTAGCAGTGGAAAGCAAGAGAAGGAATGTTTGGTACAGAAACAGGAACACAAAGTGATGAGTTTTTCCAGTGGTAAAGTCACCCTTTCCTAAAGGGGGTCCTTGGGGTGATGAGTTGTTGTGTGTGGTGGGAAAGAGAAAGAGGTTTCCCAGAAGCACATTCTAGGCAGAAGCAGCAATAAAGTACAGATGCTAGCAGGGAACAATCACTAGGTCTACTCAGGAAATTATAAGCTATGCAGTGTGACTGATTACCTTGCAATATCAAGCCAGTGTTCAGAGAACATCACAGACACACATGGGGGCTAGCTTATATTGGCTTGTGAGAGCTGTTGTACTTTCAGGAATTGTGAACTGGTTGACATCACATAGCTTGAAATCTGCAAGGTGGGGGTGTTTATACCACAAAAAGCATAACATACCAAAATTCACAAACTTCTTCCTGACCACCCCTCTTTATCCTGGAGAGAGCTGAGAGCTTTTGAAAAAATATTTTTAACGTAAATAAAAAAATAAGCACAAGCTAGAACAAGAAAAACTACGAAATCAGTTGGAAGTTCAGAATTTGAGCAATAGGGGGTTTGACAAAAGGAATGGAAATAAGTGGATCTTTCTAAAAGGCTCTACAAGAATAGACAAGAATTTAATAGATACGGGTTTGACAGAGATACATGTAGAAAAGGGAGAGGAGTTAAAAGGTAACTAGCAGCCAATAAAGGCATTTTAAAATGAGTAGTAAAGACATCT